CACGCTAACTGAATCGGCCCTTGAAACTGAACGCTCTGCGTTGGACAATGCACATTGTTGTGCTCGTGAATTCGATTGTGAACTACTTAAATATAAACGATGCACGACATCCGACGCGTTTGCTCAAGGAATACCTAATGCCGTGTTGCTTTGAAAATATACCTTCTTTAATGTTAACGTCCCGAATGCATTGCTTATTCTCTATTCCAGGACATATCAGATAACATCAAAACGATCTCGTGCGGAATGCAGGCAGCATGTGAATGTCCCGCGATCGATATAAAATGGCTTGTGTATTACTAACCTATTTATATGTCAAGGAAGAGAAGGATATTTACTATTAGTAGAAATATCGTGCATGAATCATTAAAATTTGCCAATCTCTACAAAAACAATGTTTAGGTTGTGAATTGTTTTTAATCAGATAAAAAGATGTTTACAAATACATCAATTTAAATTAACGTTCTTGTCTACTATTAAACTGAATTGTATACATTTAGATATACTCGTATATTATTCAGAGAACTCGTTTTAGGCATGTCTCAAATATTTCCCTTGAGAGAGAAAACTAACCGAAACCGAATACAAGGCTGCTTTCAAAACTAATCAAATTTATTTGGTAGATAACGTAGGTAAGTATTTATACTTTAAACGCTGACATAAATGGCTAAAGTAAATATTTTATTCAAATTAATCAATGTTACGTTTGTCATTTATATATATTTTTAATTAAAGTATAGTATCGAAAAGCCAAAAAATAGTAAAGGTAATTAAACCTCCATACACAAGAAACATAGATATTATCACATTTAAATTTATTACTAATGGATATTAAAGACCTACCTTTGGTAAGATAATGATCGTTGCTACCCTCACAAATATGAAAGGGGTTGCCAGGGGTGTGATTAAAAGTCGCGGGATATAACGTTAATTATTCAGCACAATGCGCCGAACATTAAGGTCTGTGTGTGGCTAACATTAAGTCTAGATTAATTATTTAACAGTTCGGTAATATTTGTAACTGAACTGAAGTAATAGTTAAGGGATTATATTTCTTGGATAAATAAGATGTATTTTATAGTATGGAATTATTATTATGTTACAATGTGACCGCCTACAGGCAAAACCTTTTGCAATATGAGTACTTATTTTATTCGTATTAATTCGTTGAGTGAGGGGATGGAGTCGATTATGATATACGAGTATTTGGTTATATCTTACTTCTTATTAATATTATAAATGCGAAAGTTTAGATAGATGGATGTTTGTTAGAGTTTGTAGCCTAAACGGCTGAACGGATCTCGATGAAATTTGGCATAGACGTAGAGGATAGTCTGGAAGAACACATAGGCTACTAACTTTTGTTATTTTGAACTCTATACGAACGGAGTGGCGGGCGAAAGCTAGTATTTATTGAATGAGTAATGCTGTAATTTAAACATATGTGCAAATTAAAAATGATTAAATTAAAGTCAATGTATTTTCGTTCCTTAGTGCATAATATATAAACGACACACGAATGTCAGAATACGTTTTGTGCTATATTTTATTTGTAACAAATTTTACTGTAGTAAACGTAAGGCACGTGCGGAGTTTGGCCAAATAAATAATGTTTATTGTTACGCGACTGTTTCATTATATTTTATTGAACTCATTTATGTAACTTACGGGTTCGCTTAATTAGCTAAGCTATTATGTTTCATTACACTTAAGATATCACGTGACCGAGCTGAATATTTACGATTATATTAGTAGCAATATACAATAAATTGGTAGAATTGTGTAATTAATACTTATGTGTGTCGTTAATTGCTTACTATTTGTCAATTTGGAAACTAAACACAAACCTACACACAACAATGTTACGTTCTTTTAGAAAAATGACTATAATACAATTTGTTATATCTAAAAAAATGTAAAAAAAAAACTTTTACTTAAAGAGAAGTTACAAACTAATGTGTTTACGTTTTTATTTCATAACGTTTATGAAAATTAAATACAATATAATAAAAAAACAAAACCGACTTCCAAACAAAATACACTAAAAACAAAACAAAATGCACTAAAACAAAACAAAATATCCAGAGATATTTCTACGTAAGGGTTTCCACATTTTTACCATAACAATTGACAATTGAAAGTATAGTAACAATTAAGTAATGAATCTAC